TTTTATTTCAAAATTTTTAGAGAGAAAATCTTTTTTTTTTGGTGAAAGAAAAATTTGTATTGATCCCCACCAGACAGTTATTTACAAGTGATATATCCCTACCATAATCTATAAGCTATTCTATCTAGCTCAACGTCACAACTATATCATTCTTTTCTCCTTGAGCATCTCTACTAGGTAGGTCTGCACAGTTAGAAGCTAGTTCTACACTCTTGCATAGTCATTGCTTTTTCCTATCTGTACTAATGATTGATCCACTCTATTTCTTTCCTATTATTTCTGTTAGCTTCTATTAGTTGTAGCCTGTATTTTCTATCCTCTTTTATGCTATTCCACATCTTTGTTGGCATTGGCACTTTCTGATTCCATGGAGCTTCATTCCTTGCTCGCCATATTTCATACATTATTGCTATGATGATTGAGGTCACAAATCCTCATCATATTTTCCCTTTTATACATCTTTCTATTTTTCTCCAAATGCTCTGCATATCTGGTTGTTTCAGCTTTATTCTCAACCAGTTGCATAGTTCATCAATGCATCTTTTGGAGAAATGGCACTCGAAGTAAAGATTATGTACTGTTTTATCCCGCATTCCACATAGTAGACATGATCTCTCCTGGCTCACTCCCATTATATGTAATCTGTCCTTTGTAAGTAGTCTCTGTCTCATGATCAACCAATCTATGAAAATAGTAATTTGGAACATTTAATCTATTCCAAATCTATCGTGCATATGGTCACTTAGGTGCTTCTCCTCTTCTCCATTGGTATCTTTCATTTACTATGTATCTATTCCTTTGCTCCTTCCACCCTTTTTGTTCAAATCCTAAAGCAAAAACTGTTTTCATATCACATATCTTCTTCCAATACCATGCACTATCTTGTGGTGGATTGTATTTCCACCATTCCTTGCCCTTTATGTATATGTGATTTACCCATTTAACCCATAATAAATCACTTTTTTGCTCTATATTCCATACATATGTTGCCAATGCTGCTTCATTCCATGCCAAACAATCTTGTATTCCTAATCCTCCCTCTCTTTTTGGTCGGCAGACTAGGTCCCATGCTACCAGTGGTGATTTGTTCGTGACACTTTTTCCATCCCGTAAGTAATTTTTACATATAGCTATAATGTCTTTCATTATCCTTTTTGAAAGAAGGAATATGGATGCCCAGTATGAGCGCAGGTGCAACAACACTGCATTTACCAATTGAGTTCTCCCTGCATACGATAAGTTCCTGGATCCCCATCCTTTTATCCTTACTAGTATCTTGTCTATCAGCATTTCACAATCTACCGCACTTAGTTTCTTTAGGGATATAGGCACTCCAACGTACTTCAATGGTAGTTTACCTTTCTTATATCTTGTCAGCTCACATATGTCTTCCATCTCTCTTCCATTCATATTTGCATAGAAGATATTCAATTTATTTGCATTAACTGTCGTACCAGATGTATTCGAGAATGACTTGAGTCCCCTTAGCATGAGCATTACTGATGCATAATCACCTTTACAAAATAGTATCATATCATCCGCAGAACAAAGGCGTGTCAGTGTTACAACCCATATCCACATGTGTTAGTTCATGCCATATACTAGTTAATATAAATCCAAGAAGGAATTATCTTTGAGATGATAAGAAGTCAATCCTATTGGTCTTAAGTGATACAAGAGTGTATAAGGGTGATTAAC